GCCCCCCCCCCCCCCCGCCTGCCTGCCGGTGTTTCCTTCAGGTGTGGTGGTTTGTCGTTTTTATTCTCCACAGCTGACCCCAGAATTCACGCAGCGGCTGAATAACAAAATCAGGGAGCTGCTGCAGCAGATGGAGAGGGGCCTCAAGTCTGCCGACCCGCAGGACTGCACGGCATACACCGGCTGGGCAGGTAGGGCCCCCCATGGGATCGGATGGAGCAGATGTATAGGTCAGGCCAAGGCAAACCATGGGGGATTTTTTTGGCTGTTTGAATGATCACAGTAGATCCCTGTCAAGAATGGTGCCTCTTCTAAATGTTTTAATCCATTAAAACTAGGGGCTGTCTTTCTCGGGACTCCCCATTTTTGGAGCAGGTTTCAAGCTGCAGAGGGAAGATGGTGGCGTTGCAGGGCAGGATTGGGTCTTCTCTTGGTTGATAGTGCCAAACTTATGCAACAGAGAAGGCCAACACCTGCTTGAGAGCAGATGTGGGAACCATTGAAGGGACTGGCTCCAAATCTGGCCGTGGTGGGGATGGTGATGCTCTGTGAGGTAGGCAGATGCGCGTGGTAGGTCATTTACCTGCAAGGCGTCCTTGCATGTGGCAGCGGTGAGCTTATGGCCTGAGATAATGTCTGTCTTTTCTGTTTGGGCTGAATTTTATCTTATGACATTGTCTGATTGGCAGGTTGCTCCATTCCTGTTCCCCAGGTAGTGCCCCTCCACTTAGCCAGGGCTAGTTCTGCTCCAGTACCTGCTGGAAGGAGCAGAAATGCAAATGTGAGTATAATGAAGGATGGAAGCCTTCCTCACACTAACTCTCGTGTGCAAAGCTTCCAGGAGCTTGTCTTTCTCTTGTTCTGCATTTTCAAGCTGGTTTTCCTTCCTTGGGAACGTGCCCTGCCTCCCCCTCCCTATTCCTATGTACTGGAGCCAGGGAGGACACACCTTTCTCTGCCGCCTCATCCTTGGCTACTGCTGTGTGCTTTGTCAGCTTTCCTGCCTTCTGCACTGTGCCAGGCTCTAGGGAGGGACCCTGGGGTAGTTGCAGTTAATCTCATGCTTGCTGCAAGATTTTTTGTTGCCTTTTTTTTTTTTTTTTTTTTGGCAGTACACTACAATCCTAAATGGCAACTTTCTGCATTATAATCTGGGTGTGGCTGGCTTGTGCTTGGATGCTATCGTACTTGATGCCACCAGCTTGCTTGGGAGAATGGTGTTCATTGTGTTGGTGCTAAAATAACATTGCAGCTTAATGACAGCAATGCCAGAAATGCCTGCTTAAAAATTTTAGTAAGGTAGGCACTGAGAGCACTCTAGAGCAGTTCATAAGAAATTCTAGGATGCCAGTATTAAATTCCAGCGTGGGAGAGCACTGATTTCATCAGTTGCTGCCTGGCAGCACTCTGCTGCTGATGCCTGTGAATTTATGCATTTTTGTTCAGTGCTGGCTGGTTTCACCTTAGGAGACAGGTTCAGTCTTCCAGTCTGTATGATCCTGCTCTGATGTCTGCTTGGATGAAAAACATTCGAGATGTAAAGATGGCCTTCAGTCATAGGGGTGCTACTTGGCCTGATGGTGGAGTCTACCTCTGGCCAGAATAATTCAGGAGATAAAGCAGGAGGACAATTAGCTGATGTTAGGAGTACCCTGAAAGTCTGTGGGGAGAAGGTAAAACACCTTTCCCCAGAGTCCATGTTCCCTTCTTTAGGATAGCCTTAAGGAACTTCGTGTTGGAAAGTTACTGCAGTTGTGAAACAGTGGTTGGGAGCTTTGGTAGGATTTCAGCTTGTTTTTATTTGGAAGGAAGTTTCTCAAGAGGGATTCTTCTCTCTTCCTCCCAGGAATCATTCCTCCTTGGGCACACAACCTTCTCGCCTTGGCTAATAGGATTAGAAAAAACCCATGGACAGATTTCCTGCAGGTCACAGCCAGCAAAGTGAAGTTTGCAGATATTACACTGTATCTTTGTCACCCTCCCTTCTTTTCTAATTCTAGCTGTATTAATTTATTCAGTGCTGGTTTCCAGAGACAAAATTAATTGGGCCAAGACAGCAGCTTTTTCCTGTAATTGCTTATGCAGAAAAGGCTTGTTGAGTATCTTCTCATGTAAATCATTGCCCAGCAGTCTGAAATCAACCCGCACTCTTGTGGCCGCTAATAAGAGAGATTTGAAATGCGGCTCTCTTAGCGCAAACTCTGCGTGAAATGTAACGTACTTGAGTGTACTACATTACACTCAGTAATACACAGCATATGCTGGCATTTTACTTTGGTGCCTGTTTCTTTCCCAACACACTTGACAGAGCCCTGTTCCCCCGGCCTGCATTTGTGCCAGGGAAGCCACAGCTTCTCGGCATGTGAAGTTGGAGCAGAGGGAGGGAAGGACTTACATTTTCAGCTCAGAGGCAGTGAAAACACTTTGGATCAAGATTATCCAGCATACGGCTGAATGCCCTCAAAACACATTTGAATTGGCTTGTTACAGTTTCATTCAGTTCCCCGTAGAGATCAGGGTCCCGTAGGCAACACCTCGTGCGTGCCTGGGTATAGACCAGGCTCGGCTGTTGTGTTCTGTTTTGTCTTTTAATCAGTTTAGCTAGACTGCTGTAAGAGCCTTTGTGGTCTTAATCTGTTTCATTGGTATCGGAGTGTTGACTGAGGGAAGGTAAATTGCCGTAAGCTAATTCTGAATTGGAAGCAGTTCAAATCTGGCAGAAGTACAACTGCCTCATCCATTTTCAAATAGATAAGCATGACGGTGCCGAAGAGTACATACGTGTGTGTTAGTATTTCTCATAGTGCAAGAGGGCTTGCTCCAAAGACTACATCGACAGGGAGCATAGAGGATGGAAAGGGAATGGAAGGAGACTGACTTCACTCTTGTGACCTCTTAGCTGACCGCAGAAGCTAGGAAGCTCCTGAGTCCGATGACTGCTGGACTGTTGTGTCCTTCCAAGATTACAAGGTGATCTGCCACCTGAATAGGATATAAGGGAGAGATTTCCCTTTCTTCCACATTACGGCCGTGCCTTTGGAATTTGTTTCCCATGCAAGCGTTCCCTTCTCTAGCAATGTCATAGTCATGGCTTTCAAAGCTCCAGGGCTTCTGAAACAGACCGGTGAGTCCAGCTGGCCTGCCCCACCCACAGCTTCTGGCTGGCCTGTTGGTGAAGGAAGATGAGGAGCAGGGCTGAGTTGCCATTTGAAAGGACTCTTCAAAAAGCACGCCAAATGTAAGAAAAGCCATTTAAGAATGCATAGAAATTCACACCATACCAGTTCAGGAAAGCTTCTGCAAAAAACACTTTCATTCACTTTAGTGCAGTATCTTAGTTCTGATCTCCGAACCCAGAGAACTTATATCTCCTTAAGAGAATTCTGTTCAGAAAAACAGAAATCTTTAGATAACCCCTACAGAATAAGAGGCAGTGAGGCTGCATTTGATGAGGGAGAATGAGTGCCTTGTGTCACCTACGTAAACCACATTCCTGCCAAGCGCTTGGTGGATAGTTTTTGTGAAATCTCCGTTCTTAGAGATTGTCAGTATTTGACTGGACAAGGCTCAGAGCAATGGGATGTAAAATTAAAGTTGGCCTTACTTTCAGAGGATTGGATCAAATCACCTCCATGGATCCCTTCTAACCTAACCTATTGTGGGATTCTGTGATGAGGTAATGGGAAGCTTTGGTTTGGGCTGGGCTGTTTGGTTTTTGTTTGGGTTGGGGGGGAGGAGGAAGAGGAGGGTGGTGGTGCTTCTTTTATAAAAAGTTTTACAAAAGAAGCTTTGTTACCAAGGCTTTAAGGCTGGAGAAGCTGAGGCATCCTGAGAAATGCCCCATGTCCCACAATGCACTAGGAAGGCAAGCTGCAGTAAAATGCACCTGTGGCTCCCCAGACAGTTCTGAACGTGGGATGATACAGTCCTCTGGAGAAGATTTCTCACTGTCCTATTCAGCATGGCTTTGGCATACATTTATGAGCACAAGATAACATCGCATGCATCTGCACCAGGAAAGATGCTTATTATCCTTTGAGCTGGGCAGTAAAGCTATGTCACCCCCTCTGTAACTTTGACCCCATGCCTGACTCATTAAAATGACATCAGGTTTCTCACTAGAAACCATCAGGCTTCATCACCACATGCATAGATAGGTTTCCGCTTCTTCCCTCTGTGTTTGACTCCCTGCTTTGAGGGTGCTGGCTGACTTACTTCCCTGGGTCAATGCAAGATCTCTGAGCTCTTTATTACTGTAGATGGCGGGTTGGAACTGGTCCAAATTAGGTCAAGAAATCTCCTCTTGTGGCAGCCTAACATCCTTCGTGAAAGGACCACGTTGCAGGTCAGCTCCTGGTGGACCAGGAGGCATGTTCAGAACAGTCTAATGGACATCCCTGCTGGTGCTCTCAGCAAGAAGACTTGCAGTGGAGCTGACACCAAGCAGTGCTTCGTCTTGCTTTTATCCACTGTATTCAGCATGAAGGGCAAGCTTTGTTTCACTACCGCTGTTCTCCCACCAGCAGAACTGTTTGCAGTGGTAGTGCAATCCAACAGTCTAAGCTTGCAGGAAAGTTGAGGCACAGCTTTACTTCTCTTTGATCAACAGAATGGTCATATGGACGAGTATTTTTTTCAGCCTGCTGCAGTGCTTTAGCTCTCGAGCCAGAAATTTTCTGGTATTTCCAGCAATGTCTGCACTGTTGAAAGCAATGGTTGGTAAAGTCAGGGTCATCAGCACTAGCCAACTTGTGCAAGCAATTCCATTTCCACTATGTACATTTAAGTCTCCTCTTCTGCCCTGCTCAAAAGAAATCTCTAAGGCAAAGCAGCCCTCTGCATTTGCAATACTGCTAATACAGAATGGCAAGAGGAGAGAGATGTTGTTTACTGTCCTACTGAAGATGTCGAATAAACAGGCTTTGTGAGACACATGCAGAATTGATTTTTGCTTCCTTATTGCCTGCAGTGAGCAGGCATCTCGGGCATTAATACTCCAGTGCATTGGCTTTCTGCATGCTAGAGATGGCAGTTTCAGTCATCAGAGCACTGCTAAAGGATATGCTGTCACACTTGTGTTCACTGCAGTCCTCCACCATCAGGTGATGTCTGATGCGTTCTCCGTCACATCTGGCTATGCAGCAGGCCTCACACTGCAAGGAGCAAACAACTTTGAAATCTGGAAAAACTACAGAGAATAAGGTCCAGTAGTTACCAATAAACAGAACAAAGCCCAAACACCTTTGGCAGTAGCAGGCCACAGGCAGCCGCTGCATGGCAGTTCTGCTGCAAACAATCAAGAGTCTCAGAGGTCACAAAAATGGGTCACATCTCCAACTGGGACACTGAACACAGACCTCCAGGGCACACAGAAATGGAGCTGATCCACTGCTTATCTAGCCCCATTTGACAGATGATGCCATGTTTGTATAGCACTTAAAGCAGGCCAAACAAACACCTGGTCAGTCAGCAAACCCTACCCGGTCAGTTGGGGTGAGGAAGGTATTATTGGAGAGCGAGTGAGGCAGAGCTGTGGAGTAGCTTTTACAGAGCAACACTGCCTAGTTCATCAAATTGGAACTCTCTTGTCTCCAAATTGCACTGCCTCTGAAATATGCTGCCTACATCTGGGCACACAGGTCAATATAGGATATTTCCCCACCCAGGTGACTGCATTTTGTATCCCCCTACATACATCTGTAAACGTTGCCTCTTTATGCGTGGGCCTGCCCTCCTCTGCTGGCCTTCCCTACTTTCAGGCTCACAGGTAGCAACAGAGCAAGCAGCGGGCCGAAGGCAGCACTGAATTGCGCCCTTCTGATCAGCTTGGGAGTATGAATTCCTTCAGGAATGAGTTGAGAAAACTGGCTTTAGATTCAGTTTATAGGGCCTTTGGGTTTTAAAGAATAAGGGACAATTAATTATTTGGGGAAGCAACTCCTCCCTTCCATCCTTTAGTACAGGTCAATGGTTTTTTGGAGTCTTTTCCAAAGATGCTTGGGCCTGGGAGGAAAGGGAGCAAGAAATGTTTTAAAAGAGGAGAGGCGAAGAAGTCAGAGGAAAACAATGCTGAGGCATTAACTTTCCAAGGATTCAATCCTAACAGTGGTCTTAGCATCGTAGTTATGTACATAATTAGGGTGGTATGATGGCAGTGGGAATAGAAGCTACTTACAAAGCAAAAAATTGTATATTAAAGCAGATAAGTCAAGAGTGCAAGTTGTGCTCAGAGAGCTATCAGGCCTATTAAAGTCTAAAAACTGTGGTAGGGGCTAAATAAATCAAAGATAGTCACTTGACATTTGCTAGGTGGAAAAGGAGGGTTCCCCTTTAAAGAAGGGCTTTGTCTCCACATCCTTATAGAATTGAGTGATGGCACTGTACATCTGAACTCTCTCTGGAACTGCTTAAACAGAGGACAAGGTTATTAGCTCCAGCAGGAAATGGAAAATTGCCCTTAATATACATGTGGAATTGAATTGTCTGTAGCACGAAGGTTCGGAGATTACCTATGCAAAATGAGAAAACGATCTAAATTTAAAATTGTCCTCAGTACCTTGGAAAGTAATTTTGCAGCATGCTTGCCCCTGCCTCACCTTTCCACATCAAAATCTGCAGAGATTGGCTCTGGATTAAACGCTGGACCTGAGTCTTCTTAGATGTGGTTACTGGTAAGGGCAGAAATAAGCTTTTCTTAAGTGACGTAGGCCAGTAGCTTTCTTCAGTGCATGCTTGAGAATGCTTTCCAGATCAGAAGGATGGTTCAAATGCGGCAGACCTTTCAGACACAGACTTACTGAGGACTCCCTAGTTACCTACTAAAATCTTCAAAAGCTGGGTGATTACAGGGCAGACAGAGGCAAAGGACAGCAATTGATGTGACTGCTTTGTAGGGGAGTTGTTTCTGTAGCTGGCCAGCCCATTGAAAACCTCCAGGGAGGACCATGCAGCCTTTTTGAGTGTTCCAGGTCGCTGTTTATGTTTCAGATGAGGGCTGAGCTTATGAATGATGTGCTGCAGAGGAGAGTTGGGTAGCCCCTTTCTTTTCAAGGGTGCACCAGTCCCTGGTGTAGGGCTTGGGACCTGCTCAGCTGCAGGAAATGATGTCCGGGGAACTGTAACAACCTTGCTGCTGCTTCCCAGTGGGAAGGAAGACAGAAAAAAAAAAAAAAGACCCAAGCAGGATGTCTTAAGAGTGATGCTTCTCAGTGCCGATGACATGTCACTTTTTTAAAAATTCAATCCAAGCTAAGTGACCCAACCCTTTACCTCTTGGCATGGGAAAAAATAATTGAGATAGGGTAACAACTCAGCCCTGCTCTGCCACAAGTACCATTTTGCCCAAAGGTGATATTTATTTTTTCCTCCACTGTTTAGCAACAGCCCCAGTTACAGTTGGTAGGTTTAGGTGGGTTTGTCTAAGTCTCATCTTTCGCGCCTTGCTACTAAAATTGTATGTAACCTGTGTCTCAGAAGCTCTGCTGTCCTTCAGGACCTCCTGGGTCAGACACTGCTGTTTGTCTTGACCTGCAGTCCGCTTATGAGCAGCATCAGGCACAAGGAGGTCACAAAGCAGGAAAAGAAGCTGTGGATGCTGTAACTACGGGTTATGCCCCTGAATGTGCCCGAGAAGCCTGTCTAGAAGGCTTATGCCCTAGATGAGGCTGAGGGCCAGTTTTTTAGGTTTGTTAAAACAGCCAGGGTGCAAAGCGGGAAGGGTGAACTTTTCTGGTGGGAGCAACCTTTATGTACCTTTTGCAGGCATTGCTTTGCTGTATTTGCACCTGTATGATGTGTATGGAGACCCAGCCTACCTTCAGGTGGCCCACGAATACGTGAAGAAGAGCCTGAGCTGTCTGACAAGACGATCCATCACTTTCTTGTGTGGAGATGCTGGGCCCCTGGCAGTGGCTGCTGTCGTCTACCACAAACTGCAGAACCAGAAGCAGTCAGAAGACTGCATCACTCGGTAAAATGCTTGGTTATATCTTTGACCTAATGGTCCTCTTGCTCATAGAGCTGGTCTGGGATTGTACTGGGCACTCTCCACCAAGCCTGAATACATTTTGTTGCAGTCTTATGTGAGGCATAATCCAGTAACTTAGCAAGGCAATGCAAACTTGTTTTGCCCTGGGGAAAGAGCTGTCCTAAGGACAAACACGCCTGTCTGACAGCCTGCAGCAAGGATGTTGTTCAGCTGGTATTACCATCTTAAAAATAATTCCAATAAACGCAGGAAGAAAAAAATGCCAAAATTTAAAAAACCCGGAAAGTGATGTTTGCTATTTTTTCAGATCCCTTAAATTTAGTTTTACATCCATTTTGATGAAAAGGAGAAATGTGGCAGAATTATTAGATTAATTTTGTCACTTGTGTCCACTTGCTATTTGTTAGTTGACTTTGCCTTAAACGTGAGATTGACAGCATCCCTTTCAACTGCTGAATGCAGCTGGTTATGATTCATTTATTTCTATTTCCTGCCCTTCCTCAACTGTTTTCAAATGTATTTTTGTTGGGTACTTAAGACAAGAAAAGGACAAACAAGCAGTCCTACAGTCAAATCAGCATGTGGTAGAGGAAGGAAAAAAGTTAAGGAGACGCAGTTGAAAGCTTTTCTTGCTTAAGGGAGATCAGTTTTGAGAAGGTGAGAAACAGCACTGTAAAGAGCTTCCATTTACATGTGGTCAGCACAAAACCAAGGCAAAACTCCTGACACTTCATAGCAACACCGTGTGCCCTTTAACAGCCATGAGAAAGTGATACGTAATATCAATTAAAAAAGCCATGGGTGGCAATCAGAGGTGCCTGTATGGTTTGGACACCAAGTTCCCACTCTCTTAAATAAGAACAGCTTCTGGTTTATGTGGATACCATCAGTCTGAGGACAGAACTCTCTTTTATTCTTGAAATAATCTGTGGTTTGGGTTTTGCTTAGCATTACTGTATCAAAGTGGTGAATCTCACTATGATTAATATATTTGCTAACAAAAAGGGAACTAATCTGTCAAACAGTACTCGCCAGTTGTGGTCAATGCATAAGCCCTAAGTTGTGAAAAATCCCTGATTCATGTTTTCTTGTTGTAGCTGTCCCCTCCCGGCATCCCTCCTGTTCTGCCTACAGTTTTGTGGCAGAATGGAAACTCATGATTAATTCTGCACTGCCATCTAATGGCATAATAAAGGCAGAGCCTTGGAAATTGGTTTCTTCATACATCTGAGAGGAGGAAAAAAGAAAAATAAGGCTTTCTCAAAGGAACAGTTATACTGTCCTTACTCTGCCACCAGTTCCCAGAGCAGTTAGCCTGACCATGCTAACTCTAAAAAGAGAGTATTTCTTTGAGAAATAGCTCCCTTAATCAAAACTCTGAAGTGGTTTTGAGTATGCTGTTTAGTTACAGAACAGTTGTTAAGTTATGCAGTGCAAGTACACTTCTGTTACAGCTGAGGGCCTCTCTCTGTTTTGTTCTCAGTCTAATTTTAAAGTACCTCATTTTTACAGAGCCCAAGGAGAGAATCCATCATCCAGGTTTTACCTGCAGAAGAGGCAGAAGCTTGCTTTTTCTTAGCTCCTTGCTCTTGGCCTAAATGAGTTCATGACCAATAGATGTGCTTTTATGCTCTGGAGAGACTTAGCATTTCAGAGCAGACCATTTTCCAAGAGCCTGTGAAAATCTGAGCCGTGTTCCAGGAGTCCTCTTTTCCCTGCCGTCTCCCACCAATTCAGAAGGTTAAAGGTTTGCTTTTAGAGCCAGTGGCATACAAAAATCCAATTTTGCTGTACAGCTGCCTTGCTTTCCCTTTGTCCAGCAACTACTGGCTTTTGACAGTTGAGGTAATAGGCTGATGTGTGAGCAGGAGTGGTTCTTCCCTTCAGGGACCTGGATTTACCCCCTTGCACCTGAGAAATGCATTCTGCATGCAGTTGGTCCAGCAGCATCTCAGGCATCTCTTGCTGCACACATGCCATGCAGCCCTCACGCACATTTCAAAAACAGCAGAAACTGCTGTCAGGCTTCCTCCCCTGATTGTCCTGGCTGGGAAAGCAGCTAGAGGTAGAAGCAGTAATGCATAAGGAGCAAGAATAGTAGCTCCAGCTGCTCTGTATTTCCCCACGAAAAGATTTCACATCTGGACCTCAGAAAATCCCCACTGTGGGTATTACTGTTTATCCACCCATCCATTCCTTCTATTGCACCTGACATTTCCCTGACATCTCAGAGCTGAACAACATCACCAGCCATCATCTCTTCTGCCCAGCCTGCTGCTGGGCAGAATCCAGGTGTCAAAACATTGTTTTCCTCCTTGGAAACCCTCCTCTTCATCTGCCTTCCTTGTACTTGGGGGGCAGGGGACATGAGGAGGCAGCAGGGCTTTCCTTTCAGCCCACGCAGCTGAGACAAGGGACCGCTGCTTCGAGAGGAACTGCTAGTCTTGGATGTAAAGTCTGTCTCTTGGGTTAAATGTGCGAGGAGTCTCCCCCATGGAGCAATGCATATCTCAAGTGGTACATGAGGAGATGAGGCCAATCCACTTTGAGACGCTGGTCTCTCCTTTAACATCCCTGCTCACTGAGTCCAGTGCAAAGGGAAAGTTTCCTGCCATAAGGAGTCACAGCCCAGCATCCTCTCTCTGCTCTGAGGGTACTCCGGACATTTTGTTGCTTCTTTCTTTGCAACACATTGTTCTGCCCAGGAGCAAAGGCTGCCACAGCAAATTTTTTGCTCCTCTTGCTGCTGTGACAGGGAAGCCCTGCATAGACACAGCTCTCCTGGCTGGTTTCTTCGCCCTCTCCCTGTTGCAGCCACAGCAGGGAGCAGCTGAGGGAACAGCTGCAAAGTCACTTATGCTGGTATTTTAAAAGTGATGGCATTTTTCAGATTGCTGTCTCAGGGGTGAACAGAAAAATAAAGTCAAAACCAGTCACATCCCTGCTTGTGATGAGAGGCAAAACAAAGGAAAAATTGTATCGAGAGTGAATTGGGCTACAAAGCACCAGTGCGAAGAGCCGTCAGTCTCTGTTAGCGCTACAGGAATATCACCAACTTTGCAGCGTGATAATAGGAAAACAGCAAAGAAAATATCTGACTTCTGCAGACCTCTCGCTCTGCACTTGCAGGCTAAAGCCTGGTGCCAGCCAAGCTGTCCTCAGTGTGGGATTGCACAGACAACCCGCAGCACTCACACTCTGCTGAGCTGCCCTGACCACTGTCAGCTCTCTCTAGAGAGGATTTCTTACATGTGCCACAGAGGCTTGATGTTAAACATTTCCAGCTGCTTCTCCCCACCTGTTACCTAGATTTTTAGCTCATAAAGGCACCTCTTTCTCCACTGACAGTGTGCCCTGACTGCTTACAGTCATGGAGAGAAAGGGGCTTCTCTATCAGGACTTCTGAGCATAAGGAGTGATATTTTTCCACATAGCATCAGCACTAGTTTGACTTTCTAGCATTCCTCGAGCAGCCAAATTAAAACAGATAGCAGTTTAGTTTGAAAATAGCACTTTTTGGCAGAGGGTCTGCCGTGCCAACAGCATCACAGGGAGGTAATGGTGGGCAGCCTTTCCTGAGCAGTCAGCAACTTTTTGCTGACTGTTTCCTATATTCCAGGTTTCCCCACAAGTAGCTTTCCCAGAGCTGGTGCTCAAAACCAAGCGCGTGGTACAACTGCATTGTGAAGAGCTGAGCAGACTAAAGCAATAACACAAACAAAAAGCAGAGGGGAAAGAAGGATTCTGCACCTTGCGTAGCTGGAGTGCTGAGGCCCAGAGACTGCCCTGACATCTCCCACGGTGCTGGCAGCACGCAGGAATGAATCATGGTTTTGAGCTCCAGTCTCACTGCTTGGTTACATGGCTTTAAGCATCCTCTAATCTCCTCCATGTGATTTTTTTCTTTGTAGTCTGCTCCATCTACACAAGCTTGACCCACGAGTGCCAGATGAACTGCTGTACGGGCGCATGGGCTATCTTTATGCACTGATATTTGTGAACAAGCACTTTGGAGAGGAAAAGATCCCTCAAAGTCACATTCAGCAGGTACTGTGTCTTCTGCTGATTTGTTAGCTGTCTCTTCCCATGCGGCTCATCTTTGGGCAGGTAAAAATCAATGCTAGATGTAGAGAACTCTGCCAACAAGGGAGAAACCACATCATGGTATCCCTGCTGCTCTTCTTCCAAAGGAACAAAGCACCACACGTCCTCCTGCCATCCATTTATAGCAATCCATAGGCGGTACTCACCCACAGTCTTCCCTCTGCTTGGGCAGAAAATACTCTTTTGTTCTGTGTCAGGATACTCACTGTGCTGTGTCCAAGACAGCAGTGTTTCCCTCACCTGCATCTCTTCCCATCCACAGGTCTGTGAAGCAGTTGTAGCCTCAGGAGAGAGCTTGGCCAAAAGAAGGAACTTCACAGCTAAAAGCCCGCTGATGTATGAGTGGTACCAGGAGTACTATGTAGGGGCAGCCCATGGTTTGGCTGGGATTTACTACTATCTAATGCAGGTAAGAAGCACTGGAGGGGGGGAGCCTTTAGCAGCTGTTTCACATTTCTTTGAACAAGGAGGAGCATTCTGTTCTATCCTGTCCTGTCCTGTCCTATCCTATCCTATCCTATGATTTGAATTGGCTCTTGGTGATGTCAAGCTGGGCAAGATCCCTTGTCTGATTACTCCTGATCATGCATCCCCACTTCTAAAGGTTTCCTTGTCTGATGGACTTACTCCTGTGTTTGATCATGCATCCCCACTTCTAAAGGTTTTCTCCAAGGAGAATTTGCCACCTCCATGGAGAACGGTAGAGGAATGGTATAATGCACATCACATTCCTCTCCCTTTCTCCATGGAGAATGGCAGTTTCACATAATAAAGCCCTGTAAGTCAGCTAGGTTTGAGCTTCCCCGTCTGGCGTTAATTGCTTATAAAGTATTCTTATTTGTTAGTATCTGTGGGCTTCCTGCATTTTTTGAGGGTGTTACTTGGGGCAATCTCAGATCATTACAGAGTGAGAATTTCTGTAAGAAAAGCATGGTGAAAGAGAATGTGTTCATAGTAGGAAAGTGGGAAATGCCTTTGTTTCCAAATCAGGGCCTATATCTAAATGTGAAAGAAGTGGGACTTTGACAAAGCAGCTAAGTTCTGTAGTGCCTGAAGCAAGCAGGGCAAGACAAGAGGTTGGGAGCTGCGGTGCACCTTTGCTTTGATGCTGTCTTTCTCACAATTTTGCACAACTTACTGGAGCTATGGGAATATTCCCTTCCCCAACTCTGAAATGAGGGTCGTAATTCCCCAATGTAGGTCACTTTGTGTATAAATTTACAGTGCTTAAGCTCTTAGAAAAATAACAGCAATAAATAACATTGCATTTTCAAAGCATTAAGGACACCCACTGGGCAACACAGATTATTTTAACATAGCAATTTTCATAGAAATAGATGATATCTTTTATAAGACCCAACTCTCACAACAGATGGAAAAAAAGCCACCAGGTTTCAAGTACTTCAGCTTTCCTTCAGGACCCTCAAAGTTCAAGCCCATATACAGGATAAGCAGAGTTCCTGTGAATATAACCCTCTTATGTGACTCAGAGAGGAAGGGGTGGTTGGTGTTTTTTAAGCAGAAGGAGATTTGGAAGCAGAGGATGCGAGGTGATTATTGCCCAGGAGTACAGAGCAGCGAGTTTGGAGCAGAGGAGACAGCAGTGTACTGAGAGCCCAAATTTGCACCAAGTCCCTGAGCTTGTTCCCAGGCTGATGTTTTAAATAATTTTAAATGTAAGTCTCCCATAAAATACTGCATGTGCTTCATGCTTCTCTGCCGTATGAAGTAAAAGGAGCCTGGATCAGCCCAACATGATGTACAAAAAGCGTTGGGGGAAGCAAACGAGGGAAATATGGAGAGGAGAACATTGGACTTTTATCTCTAATGGTTTTACAGCACAAGTATTGATTTTTAATTTTCAAGTTATCAACCTGGGAACAGTGTGATCCTTAGATGAGAGTGCTCACTGCAGTTGGCCATGGGAAATTAGAATTGCCCAGATTCATGTGGGGCAGTGCCATTGGAAGAGGACACTGAAGCCACTCCCGCGCTTCTGAGGTCATCAGTGAAGTCACCCCCTTGCAATTACCCAGAAACATCTGTGAAAAGGCAGCATCACAGCCCGCCAGCTGGGCTGGCCCAGCAGCTCAGAGCTGAGATACTCTAGATGCTAGGAATCATTCCTGGTATTCATGCTTAATACTGATTTTAGACAGTTTATCTCTTTACTTCAACTCTGGGTACCTGAAAATACTCCTACTCATCTTCAGGAAAAGAAGCAGCAAGCGCTCTTGCTTAGAGAGCCAGCTGACACCTTAGGGGCAGCCTTTGTTTCAGGGGATGCAAGGGCATGACTGGAAATAATTCCCTGCCTAAGGGCAGAGCAGCCTAGGGCCAAGAGGGTATTTGTGGTGCATGAAAGCCTGGACCAAAGAAATTACTTCATTTACAAGGAGCAAGAGGGAACATGGCCATAGTTGGCTTTGTTTCTGGAAAGGCAGATCTTGGGTCTCTTAGGGAGAGGCAAAATGGTAATTCTCCCTGGTTTAACGCTTTTTCTTTCTTAGCCTGGCCTTGGAGTGAGCCAAGTAAAACTGCACAACACAGTCAGACCCAGTGTGGACTACGTCTGCCAGCTCAAGTTCCCATCTGGCAACTACCCTCCATGCATCGATGACACCAGAGACCTACTCGTCCACTGGTGCCATGGGGCACCAGGTGTTATCTACATGCTTGTCCAGGCCTACAAGGTACCAAAAATCTTGCAAAGACCCTTTGGGAACCGCTAAATGTGAAACTTCATCATGGAGAAGACTCTGTTGTGACCCCCCCTACCTGAGAGTAGGATGGCTTGTTACAATTAAATCACCCCACAGGGACCAGACTGCAACGGAAGTTAGTCTTTTAAAAAAATATTTCTGAAAATACTTATCAGCTGTGTGGGGTATCCTGCTGCAGGTGGCTGATGGTGACAACTAGTTGTGTGCGAAGTAATGGTCAAACAGCCCCATTCATCATATCAAGAACATCCTCCTTTAAAGTAAACGCAAAGTCACAGCATTAAGACTTTAGTAGGAGAGAAACTAATTAACCCAAGCCTCCCCACTTAGACAGGGATGCTCTTTGTGTGGAGGAAATTGCTTCAGCAAGAGGGAATGTTTCTTGTCTCTGCAGGTCTTTGGGGAACAGCAATATCTAAATGATGCCCTGCAGTGTGCAGAAGTGATCTGGCAGCATGGGTTACTGAAGAAAGGCTACGGGCTGTGCCACGGGACAGCTGGAAATGCTTACGGCTTCTTAGCACTGTACAACCTCACTCAGAACATGAAATACCTGTACAGGGCCTGCAAGGTGAGCACCTGTGTAAGGGAGGGAGAGGGGATTATTCACTTCTGCCTTTTATGTCATCACCTTTGCCTTTGAAACCTAATTTCTAGTGTGGCAGAGATGCAGCTAGATCTGATCAGCTCCACCAGAATAGTCCTTCATTAGTGCAGTCACTTGTCTGACAGCCTGTACAGAAGGAGTATCCTACAGGAACCATCCTCTACAAGGGATAATGTGAGGTTGAGGATGGTATTTTTTTTTTTTAAGACCTGTCTTTAACAAAATTTACATGAATTTTTTATTCGTCTTTTCTCAGTTTGCAGAGTGGTGTTTAAGCTATGGTCAACATGGGTGCCGGACTCCAGACACGCCGTTCTCTCTCTTTGAAGGTAACCTCCATTTCTATGCTTATGTTTTGCTCTTGGATCTGAGCCAGGCCAGCACCAAGGAAAACCGGATACAGACTCCACTGAAGTCTTTGCAAAACTCAGTGTAGAGGATGGGAAGGAAATTGCTTTCACTGTTTTTACCCTTTTGCGGAAACAGTCTTCTTGTAACACAGGCTCATGTCTTAACAGGCTCATGTCTGAGCTGGAGCATCTTGTCCTCTTGGGCCTCCTGCACAGATTCTACATGCAGGTCTCAAGGGGAATTCTTTAATGGGTACAGGCCAAAGTCTACCTTACGGTAATTTGTAGCCTGGCTTCTCAGACAGTCTCTTTTCTGGCCATTTTTAAGGATTCAAGTCCTTCATGGGCTTTCCAGTTCCATTCCAAAGGTGGATGAGGAACAAATGGGGCTGCTTTTGTAGGTCTTGTTGGCTCCTATGGCACTTTGTGGCTCCTGCTAATGGCTCCCCCAAAATCTGCCATCAGCAGGTATTGCTGAAAGAGCAGGTTCCTCAGCTAATGTAAATCTCTCTAACTTTGCTGCAGGCCAAGGAAAAAGGGCAGTTACATGAGTGAGGACCCAAGGCATCACTGTCACAGGGTCCAAAGTTTTGCAGAGATACTCAGATTGTTAAACCTGTGGACAGGTAAAGCAGAAGGGAGGGAGCTGGAGGGGGGAAGACCCATCATGTTTTCCAAGGCACTTTTCAACATTTGATTAACTTCAAAATGCTCTCCCCACTGAAGTACCGAAGTTGCTTGGGAAACCTGGGTTCAGACCTTGGAAATTATTTACGTCCTTCTGAAAACGTTTTCCTTTATTCTGCCTTCATGACTCATTCACCCCCTGGATAATTGATAAAATGGGTCCCCAAAGGGAATCTCTCTGAAGCACATTGTGGTTTTTTTTATCCACAGGAATGGCTGGAACGATTTACTTTCTTGCTGACCTGCTGGTGCCAACCAAGGCCAAGTTCCCCGCATTTGAACTCTAAATCTGAGCTTGGCAGTTTCCTGCCTGAATCCTTCTGCACTTGGAAAAGCAGTTCAAAGCCGCTTTCTCCTTCTCCCAAACTCGTCGTTGTTCACCTAACTGAACATAAATCCATCCTCCTGAGGGCATGTTGAGTTCTCTAATATTTCTAGTCATCTCATTGCATTGTTTCAATTTAAAAGACAGAATGCAGATTTTGCTGGTGTCTCCTAAAAACGCAGGGCTGCAGGTGGGAGCAAGGAGAAAATGTACAGTATTTTATTGGCTATAGAGTTTTGCTATTTTCTGTATCCCATTTCCTGGGAGAAAGTTTTCTATTGAATGTAACTTTGGCCATATGATTTTATTTTTTTTGTGCTGACAAATAGTTGCAGGAATTTAGTTGCCTTTAGAAAACAAAAGATGAAAAACTGAGACTATTGCCATGCAAGTTGCTTTTAAGTGTTTTCTTTCTGAGCACCCAGGGAGTGGTCAGTTCAGTAGCCGGGCTGCTCCACATGAAGCGGATGTGATGGACTGTGGAGTCTTTATATAGGTTTTTTTAATGTCAGAGTGCAAGTGGCACAGCTGGAACTGACATGCCAAAGCTGTGTCCTGAATTTCCACCTGTCTTCTTTGAAGGCAAAGCCTATGTAGAGCTCTTTTGTGCATTTTTTCCAGTGACAGACAAATAATCCACTAGCTTTTGTGCTTATTTGCCATCTTATGCTAAACCTTGCAAAAGTCCAGTGATCATCTAATGGAAAATGTGAGCTAAGCGCACTTGCTGGTGTAGTCTCTTCTGTATAGCTTTGAAAGTTTATTTTGCAGTCTTTATTTAAAATTGTGTATGAATATTATAGGTGTTAGGTGGTGTCAGGCCCGCCAGCAGCAGCACGGGAAAAGAAATGTATTCCACTGAGTTGTGTCAGTGTGTAACCTGTTACCTGTATAGATGCTGCTTACATGCTTAGTTTTACAAGCTTTCCTGAACCTGGATAATTTGAGTCACCTGTTTGCCTTGTTACTGCTTCTTGTAGTTTGATACATGACCACGCATCTACCCAACTGGAAAATCTGCCCTAGGTTAAATAGCTTTGACCTGTCAAGCAGACTAGATACTTGGAAGGGATAAATCTGCTTTTCCGTCCTTAGCTGATGCTGCGATAATTTGCAGCAATTAGGGAACTGACCCTGTAACCACTTCCTTAGCACTGAGCATGAGCAGTGTGCAGTGAAAGTTACTGCAACTGTACCGCTTCGTGCTGATTGAGGGCAGCTCCTCAGCCTGCACAAGAGTGAACGTGGGTTTTGATCTTCTAAGGGCTCAGTTGCTGAGTGCCTCAGGCCACCTAAGAGCAGGCGAGCAGCTGCAGGGCAGCATGGGCAATCTCCAAGCCGTTGTGCCACTGCACGAGCAATAGCGAAGCAGGAGAACCAAACCCACCACACTAACACAGCTAGCTCACATGTGCCTGAACACAAGGCAATCTAGCCACAGCGGCATAGGCAGACCCTCAAGAACCTCCTGGATGGGTTGCTCCAGCAAAGAGTAGAAACCATTCCTGGAAGGCTGCCTGTTTCCTCACAGCCCAGCCTCCTGCTGCCATCACGTGCTTCTGGAAGTCCATTAAAAGACAGCCTGAAGCTCAGAACAGCTCATCTGCTTTGGGGTAGGCATCCCTGTCAGAAGCCTGAAGCTCATGCAAACTCAGCAGTGGTCATCCCCCATCATTCGCGGGGCCTAAACAACACAGGGAGGTGACTGGAAAGGGGGAAGCGCAGTCTTGAGAGCAGGATTTGGCTAATCAAACAGCTTGGGGTGTGGGATCCTGCAGTACATGAGGCTTCCTGTAAGTTACCTCCCAGCTTTGCTGGTGTGATAGCAGCGTAGGGACACTGCTCGGAGCCTGGGTTTCTCCTGTGCACTGCTTCAGTAAAGGAGATGGTTCTTGCAGCCTGGTGTCATGGCAGCGTCACATCCCAGGGTTTGTACACTGATCAGGGGATCGTCGGGGGGTGGTGTACAACTGCTGAGTGCAGCACTGTTTAATAAAAATGCTGAAATGAACAAGCTTTGCGTTATTTTTACCTTCCACTTTGTGACCAGGATTTGTGTCTGAAGAGATCAAGATATGCCACAACAGCCACTCTGGTGGCTCCTGGAGGCTCATTGCCCTCTCCCCCCTCCCCCCTCCCCGCAAGCGTTAAGAGTATTTCACATTTTTCCCCATCTCCAATCCATCAAGGCCAGTTGTGTGCTTTCCTTCGCAGGCTGTGCTTTTCTCCCAGGTCATCCTTTTGCAGTGCTGTCTTCATTCAAGGCTGTGTCCTTCCTGCTGTGGCTTCCATTGGAGACCACAGTCCTGCAGGTTAGTCTTAATTGCACCTAAATATGCCTGTGTGCAGCACTGGCCACCAGAAAGAGGATGTGGATCTTCCCAAAAAATCACCCTCCTCCCCAGTGGAAGGAGGAACAGGCTGCCTGTGGGAGGCTGTGACTGTCCAGCACCAGAAGTTTTAAGACCGGACTGTAAGGAGCGGTATGGGTAAAGGTGATCCTGCTCCCCAGCACAAGCACAAATCAGGTTGCTTGAGGTCCTATACAGCTTGGTTTTCTACAATTTCCATTTCTATTAAGGTTTGTGGTAAAGCTTTTTGGGGAGGAGGGCCAACAATCAGGATGGGAAAGAAGCATCGTGCAGAGTTTCTCTGGTTGCCCTTCATTTCTCACGCAGGGGGGTGCTGCTCACTTCCACCTATCTTTGTGCTAAGCAGAGGGACCAGGAGCAAGACAAAGCCTGAAAACATGCAACTGCTCCTGCTTCAACAAGCTACCCGAGAGGGACTTTTATCAGAAGTGTAGACATTTAGCACTTAGTTCTCAATTATGGTTATGTTTGTCCATGGCAGTGTTCTGTTTGAAAAAAAATTAAGTGCCTTATGCTCCCAAGAAATAAGTAAAAAACATTTTGAATGTAGTGCCATCTGGCTCAGTTTGTGTTCACCTCCTGTGTATACCAGTGTGATCACTAAGATGAAAAATGTCCCAAATACTGTTAACCAAACATCATCTGTAGGGGTGCATCTTCCCCAAGAGCCTGCTGCGGTTTCAGCTCTCAAGAGCCAACAGCAGCTTCAGCTATAAAAGAGGTGACACAGGGACAGTGCAAGGGGACAGATATGTTATTGCTGCCTCTACCTAACTTATTTCATTTCCCATTCCTGCATATTAACTTTTCAAATGCCCACAAACTGCGACCAGCGCTGATGCTAAATCCATGGCTAATACTATGTTTCCAAAACAACCCCACCCCATATGCGGTCCTCAGGCCCTATAGCATTAGCAGTCGGACACACAGCTCATCTGATAAATTAGTTTACAGACAGCCACTACAGTCATTTAATGTACACTGGTTTCACTTTGAAACCACTTCAGAGTAGGCAGATGTCCTCCTTGTGCTGACAGGGAAAAAGCACAAACCCCAGCTCAGCCTCCTGCCCCCAACAGGGATGGTGTTCCCATCTGACAGGCATAGAGCTGGGCAAGATGGACAGTTAAAGTTGCGTGTCCCACGTGTGATACCACAAAAGCAGCTGTAGAAGAAGCGGTCATATAGGGCACAAAGCTGCTGGTGAAGGGCTTCATTTACATGATTTATCCAGCCAGACCTCGCTTCTCTCCAGCGTCTCATCTTCCATCCCTCTGCACCACTATCTCGCCTTTCCCCCTACCCCTCTTTTATTTTGTTCATGTTTTTCCACCACAGCATAATACCTTGGCCAAATTTGAGTGGGGTTTTCTGATGGTAACTACACCCAAGGGAATGTGGCTGGGCCCAGCAAGACCACAAGTCCTGCTCCAGGCCAACAAGGTCCCAGCACGTACAGCTGATTTGTTGCAAGAGATTTGGGGGGTTTTTAATTAATTTTTTGCATTGAGAAGAACACCACAGGGTTCCTCGCATCTTCCTGCCCAGAACGGCTGAGCCCTTTGGGCAAAGTGTCCCCCACATCCCTTTAGCTGCACCTGGGAAAGAAACCTGAACCGAAGGCCAGTACCCAGACCAGGAATTATAAACCCCAAGAGTTACAACTCGTAATGTTACGAAATGTCTGAAGACAAAATCCAAGAGAGCAGGAGGTCGCAGATCTGCCCAAAATAAGCACCTGAGGAAACATGCTGGAGCCCAGCTAGGCTTGCCCCTGGCAGGGGAGCTGGCTTGGGGACACCCCTTGCTGAAGCGTGGGTGGAGGTGGTCTCAGAAAGGGGCTGTGTGCCCCCAGCAGGTGGCAATGCAGCCTGACAGCAGCAGCCGCCCTGCCGCCGTCAAGCACATGCCCCCACCCTCAGCTGAGACATCGTCCCTGCAGAGGTCTGGGATTCAGCTCTTGGGTAGCCCTGGGAAAGTCGCTCAAACCAAAAAGCCCACACGGATGAGGTTGTATTTGTAGACTGTGTGGGATGACAGAGATGTGAGAAATGTGGAAGCCCTTCAGAAGTGCACAGCCGCAAAGTGAGACATACACACCCTCGAAAAAAAAAACCAAAACAACAAAGAAGTACATCTTTCCCAATCCTGCCTGAAGCCGCCCAAGCTCCTCCACAAGCCCCCACAGGGGAGGACAACTCCTCATGCTTTTCAGCCACGCAGGTAGGTTTACAAGGAAACGCTCTAGCTGTTGGGTGAAAATGCTCTGTGCCTCCCCACGTCAGTTTTACAGAAGTTCTGCCACCAACTGATCCCAACTCCCAGGAGGAGGAAAGCCAAAAACCCCCCTCCCCACAAGGCTGCCCTTTGCTCTGTGAAGTCTCCTGCACTGAACATGTCCCCCCTAGAACACCATAGGGCTTGGGGCATCCCAAAGGGCAAGAGCATCCAGAAAATCCAGCTGGTTGTGTGTGTAAGGGTGCCAAGGCTCACCACTGAGATGTTTTGATGTCAAGGGAAAACCCAAGCCTCAGTAGGGCTCAAATGGCTCCTGCGGATGGGCTTCCAGTGCTGTCTCCATTGGGACATGGCCTGAAGCCAATGGGACCAGAGCAGCCCTGGTTCTCCCTGACCCTGCTGATGGGCAGTCTTGGGAGTTTTCAGGCAACGCCTTGTTTCGGCCACATGTGGGGACAGAGAAGCACCAGGCAGGGAACCGGGCCCCATGGAGTGGGGGGGTTTAGGCCAGTGGGTTTTTTCAGGGGGATCCCTGCGCACAGTGGGTGCGCAGTGTCAGCATCCAAACTCACTCTCAACACAGCAGGAAGCAGATAACTAAGCTGTGGCCAACATAGACTCAAACCCCCAAACTCAGTATCATAACAGGTGCGAATGCGTCCTGCAGCATCCTTGCAAATGGGGTAAACATGGATTTCCAGATTATAGCTGAAACTGAGAGGTTTGCTTGATTGACCGTTCTCCCTGAATTAATCAACACAGCTTACACCTTCTG